TAGCTCAGACGCGCCGGCAGCCGTGGCCCCGGAGTGGGAGCCCAGCTCTGCTCTGCGCCTCCCCTGACGCCACTTTCCTGCCCCCATGGCTCCGTGTCCCGGTGCCCACTTGCAGTGAGAGTCCCGATGCCCTCGAGGCAGCTTCTCCCTATGGCTTTCCCACAAACCGTTCTGCTTTCTGGCCAGTGCAGCAGTCCCCAGACCCCCTGCGGACCAGCCTGGCCCACTAGACCCTCCCCTCCATAAAGGATGGCTTTCTTCCCCCCGGCCAGCCGCTGTGGGCTCCCAATTAAAGGGGTTGCTGCTGTATTGTTTTTAGATTAAACCCACACACTCTCGCCTATAAAACAGCTGAAACGGTAGCATTTCTTCTTAAATTACACATGAAACTCCTCTGTTCTATGTATGAGAATGTCAAGCACATTACACATTTATCACTACTCGTTTTGAAAATCTTGCTATTATGAATTCTCACTGCTTACTCTACAGAAAGTGTAAGGTACACAGGGGTGGACGTGGCCAGCCTTTATTAAAATGAAGGCAGGAAACTGTCCAGAGTGTGGGCAGAGGAGCAAGAGGCGAAGGGGGTCCCAGCCACAACCTGCCGTGGCGTGGGCTGGAGGACCAGGGTCACGTGACTGGCTGCCACCGGACAGCCCATAGCTCACCCGCGAGCCTGGGCCAGGCATCCGGCCACCATCTTCGCTGCTCCTGCCCGGAAAGCTCTCGGGTTTTCTTCTCTAAAAGAGTTCCTGATGCACCTGGGGCAAAGCAGGGCGACTGGTGAGGCAGTTGGCGTCCCAGGGAGGTAACAGCCCTGCACAGTGACTATGCCCACAGCCAGCCAGCCCCCCGGCCACTTTCCCGGCTGAGAATTCCCACCCGTGAGTACATGGGGGCTTCCCCTCCCTCATCCACAGGGGAGACAGCGCAGAGTCATCACACGCCTCCAGGATAAAAGAGAACAATCCACGTAAACCCAAGAGAAGAGTCGGTACTTGGGGGAAAGGGCATGACACAGAGAAGAGGGGGATGCCATTTACAAACCCACAAATTAGCACAGTGACACCTAAAGAACAGGAACCGACTTCTTGTTTCTCCACCGCCCACAGGTGACAGCTCTGCAGCTGGACAGGGTGCGGGCTTCGAGGCTGCTGCACCGGAGCCATGGAGCTGGGTGGGCCTCGAGGCCCCCAGCACAGCGCCCCGCGTCCCCACAGCGGGTGCTCAGAGAACATCACACATCCACACACACCGACTCCTCGCGGTGAGCGGTGGCCACGACACACACCTCTGCCGGGACGCTGGGAACCGGCCTGCAGTGTCAGGCGACACCCACGGGCGCCGGAGTGCAAACAGGACCCTGACGCAGACTACAGACTTGGCGGCCAAGTCCACGGGCATCCTTGTGACGTGCTGTCAGGACCAGAGTCCACAGTCCTACAGAACGCACGTTTAACGCATCCTGAAGAGATGCAAAGAGTCCGCAGTTAGTTCTTTTTTGTCAGAATTACTTCAACTCTGGGGACACCTGGGTGGCTCAGTTGGTTAAGCGGCTGCCTTCGGCTCAGGTCATGATCCCAGTGTCCTGGGATCGAGTCCCACATCGGGCTCCTTGCTCGGCGGGGAGCCTGCTTCTCCCTCTGCCTCTACCTGCCACTCTGTCTGCCTGTGCTCATGCTCTCTCTCTAACAAGTAAATAAATAAAATCTTTAAAAAAAAAAAAGAATTTCTTCAACTCTGTCATAAAATGTTGTCACCATGACAGACGTGTGACGATGTCACATGTCAGTTCGTACACAGGGACGCCCGCGGGAAGCAGGGTGGCTCCATTTGGACTCAGGGGTGCTGCGAGAGCGAGTCTGCTTGTTGCTACGCAAACAAGGGTCCACGCGACAGGTCTCCGTGAGCCGGGGCGCCATGTGAGCCAGCAGCCGTGGGCCGGCCAGCAGTGAGCAGAGGACGGAGGGCGGATGCGGGACTGGCTCGGTGGCGTCCAGGGAAGAGGCTTGCAAAGCGCCAACAGTCCGCGAGAGGAGAGGAGGCCGCTGAGGGCGGGCTGAGCGGTACAGCAACCGTCCTGGCCCAGGAAAGACACGCTCCCTGCTCCCCACTGGTCACCTAGAAGCGGCCCGAGCACCAGTCCCAGTCCCAGCCCCAGGAAGACTGTGCTCAGGGCCATGGCTTGCCGGCATGCTGCTCAGCCCAGTGTGTCTCCGGGGACACCACCACACCCAGGCCCCGACATGACACCCGGGGGCCCCACGGGGCTTGCACACACACCCAAGGCTGTAGACAGTCACTGTCAGGTTGTCCACTTACTCGTGCCCGATACCACTCCCTGCCGCCACCCCCAACCACAGTGGGGCCACGTCACCCGGGCCAGCCACACATACAACGGGACGTCTGCTCGGCCGTTGGTGAAGAGAGGCAGATGTGCCAACCCCGGCTCAGGCCCCTTCCCACCGCATGCCTAGGCACTGCCAGCGGCCGGCGAGAACGCCACCGGCCAGAGGCGCCAGAGCGGAGGGTACGAGTGGCCCAGGCCCAGCTGCGCAGTGACTGACCACACGGCGAGCCTCACAGAGCTTCCTGACAGAGCCTCAGCGCCGCGGCTCAGCAGAGGAACCAGAGCGAGAGGTTCCCTTCGGAGTGAGCCCTGGCCAGGGCGGGCGCGACCAGGACGCACTCTATCCGCCACTGCCCTCTGTGCCAGCTGATCTCCAAAACCATGGCGTATGCTCACTTGGTAATAATAAAACTATTTATTTTAAAAAACGGAGACTTGAAGGCAAACTCTTAATGCTCAAACTACAAAGCGACGCGACCCAACGAAAAACGTGCGGAAGACGGCTGAGTGGCAGCGCGTGCTCCTGGCAGAGACATGGTTCGAGCCGCGAGCAGTGGTTTTCGCAGGGCTTTCTGGGGGTCAGGGAGGGCTTCTGCGGCACCAGCAATGCTCTCGCGGCGGCTCCCGGTCCTCAGCGTGGCAGTGGGCCCACGGAGAATGTGAAAGCCGACAGCCGCCCTCTGGACGCACACCCCTCGCGGTGTCCCGCCCTGGAGGCTCTCCGTCCCAGGAACCATCTCCGCGCCTTCCGTGCAGTCACGGCCACCCTCTTCTCCGACAGGTCGCGCAGCCCATCGCACTGGCCGACTTCCTGCAGCTCACGCTCCTCGCCTCCCCGGGAAAGCCGCTACGGCACGCTGGGACCAGCGGCAGAGCGGGGAGGAATGACGCGGGGCAAGGAGGCGACGAGGCTACACTGGACTCCGCTCCGTCCAGCACACCACGGGACGGCGAAAACAAACACTAAGAGACTAGCTGGGAGCCAGATTTATCATTTATCATTTTCATCTCTGCTACTTCTGCAAGAGACCGACTGAACAGCAGCCGGCCGCAGCACGTGCGACGCAAACACGAGACTTCCCCGCGCTGTAATTACAGAGGAGGGAGATGAAAGTCAGAGCTAATTATGAAGCACATGGCGGGACGTTGCACCGCCATCTATCTGCCACTTCAGATAATGGATTTCTCATTTGCTCTCCCCCATGAGAAATTAGTCAATTAAACATTTTTTTCCCAAAAAAGATGCATGGAAGGCTTTTTCGTCGCACTCACTGAAACGAGCAGTTTCCGAGGCTGAGTAAGGCTCGGCGACATACAGAGAGCACGAGGTGGGGACGACGCAGTCCGGGAAGTCGGCGCTCAGGCCCCCGCCCGGGGGAGCACCTGCCTTCCACGGGAGGGCGCGGGGGGAGGCCGCGTCCACTGCGCCGTGGGCCGCGGAGGCAGATGCACTGTCCTCCTTCACCCGCCTGAAGCTCAGGAACCGGGACCAGAACAGGCAGCGTCCTCCGGCATCTCACTTACATATTTTACATGCAAAAAGAAAACCTTTTTTGCAATATTTGTTACTTGACGTGAGGAAAAGCATATCACCTCTCGGGGCTCTGAGTCTCGGCGCTCATCGGATGACTGTGCCTCGGGTAAACGTGCAGGAGACGCCCAGAAGCAAGGCAATCATCGGACGACACGAAACGCGGTCTTCCCTCCTCTCACGACAGAACGCAGAAACCACGCCTCGCGGAGCCGGGCTCCGTCCCCAGGGATAAGGGGCACCGTCCGCACCAGTCACTCTTACGGCATGCTCTGCACAGGGACTTCATTTATAAATATAAAATCCTAAACTGCATGACATGTTAATTTTAAATTCTAACACATAGAATTTCAAATTTTATCGCTGATTATGTCAGCCGCAGCCTCTGATGAAACATGAAGGGGGGCACAGCATCACATTAAAATTAACAGACACAAACGGGCTGGAGGGAACACATACTCGGGACCACGTTTGCTCCGGAATCGAGTATTTCCTGCACTGCCACCGGTCGGAATTCATGATCCCCTCGAGGCCGCAGAATATTTGATTCCCGCACTCCCGCGCAGACCACGGGATGGAGGTCTCTTAATTGAAAATGCCTCTGCAATTTATCTTCAGGATTCACTGTTCGGTTCAAAATCAAATATTAACTAAAACAACTGCGAGAGCCGTCTCTCCACGAGCAGAGCACGGCCCTGGCTCTCAGCTCCTCGAACAGAAGGGACTGGTGGCCATGCTGGCGCTCATCTTCTGCACTTAGCTCAGTGGGTGTTTTTAACGCACGCGTGCCCCCCCCACGCACACACATGCACACGCGGCGGGGACAATGACAAAGACGTGGAATTAATGGCTACGCCCGGCCATGGGTCTGTTCCTCCCAAAATCGATGTGTCTGCTTTATTTAAGCATTTATCTCAGAGGCAGAGGCCACTGGAGCGCAAACCAACCCTGTTAATGTTCTCACTTAATTAATGTTTAGATTAAAAATGACACTGAGTAAAAGGAGATGTAAAAATGCGCCCCGAGGCTCGTGCCGCGTGCCTCCCAGCTCTTTGTCACTGAACCCACCAGGGCGCCCCGCGGAGACACCGCTCGAGTCCTGGGGCGCGAGGGCCTCACCTCCAGCTCCTGCTCCCTCTGCAGGGCAAACTGCTTGAAAGACTTGACGATCAAGCCGGCGTTGGAGCAGTCGTAGACGAATATGGACGGGCTGCCCATCCACGTCTGCAGGTCATACACAGACAGCGGGATGTACTGCGTGTAGTTCTGGAAAACAAAACACAGTGCACGTGTGACTTACATCTCCTGCACAGGAACGCCAACCCGCCCCCTGCGCAACAGGGAGGAATGACACCCCAGGCCAGGTGCCACGGAGGGCTGTGTCACGGCTCACGAACGTGAGAAGTCCTAGCCAACCACACCCTCTGCCACATGCCCGCGTGCCGCTGTGCCCTGACCTGTGAGCACCAGACAGCGGCCCCAGTCCTGTCCCCACTCCAGAGCTCCTCAGCTGTCACTGCCGGATTCAGCGGCTCGCTGTCTCCTGCGAACCCGGGCCATAGTCCTGCTCATGGCAGGACTTCCCTCCATGCGTCCTACCAGCAGGGCTTCCCCATCGACCTCCCTCTCCTGGGAACCAAACCACGGCCCCCCTTACACACTTACAGGATGTGCACATGTCCCTTTCCCTGCCTGCCATCTTCCTCCATGACTCGTGTGTGCTTCTAGAACATGCCACGTCCCCCACGCACCAGGGAGACGTTCCGAGGAGCTGCCTAAGCTCAAATCTGCATGTTTCCCCCAAAGTACCTTCTATTTCAGAGAACCGTAAGCACTTAATCCTGCAGATGACTTGGAAATCACACTTAAGGGATACAAGCGGATTTGGCACTCTGATTTTTTCAAACCACTGAACAGAAACTTATTAACATGAATCCACTAAGTGAAATTTTTTCTGGACACCCTGTACTGCTCAGTACTCGAAAGCACTTGGGAGATGACTGGGAATAGAGAGCAGGATGTTCTCACCTCAGCAGAGAAACGAGGACACTCCTCGCTCAGAGGCTGGGGCCTTTTGGCACAGACCACCACCCGCACTGACCCTTCCTCGCACCCCCCCATGCCTGGCGGAGCTGCCAGAGTCCACACCATAGGCTTGCAGCGAAGGGGACTGTGTTCCCCGCAGCTGAGCCTCTGGTGTCGCCACGAGGATGGCGAGAGCGGCAGGAAACAGGCCAGGAGCCCAGAGGACCCTGCAGGGCCCAGCGACATCCCTGACGGGACGGAGGCGGCCCTCAGAGGCTTTCCCGAAACGCACAGCAAATTGGAGATCTAAGTCAACCCAGATGGGATGAGGCCGCGCGCGGACAGCACAGGTGCATGTGCGTGTGGGGGCAGACATCTGGACCCCGAGAGGGACCCCGCTCCGCTGGCGCTGGGCCGCTTTGCCAGGCTGCCCTGCCTCTCCCGTGGCTGGCAGGTCGTCGCTGTGTTACGATCGAGAATGTTTGGAAACGCCATCCCTGGGCAGGCTCACCGGACGCTGCCACACGTGGCGAGGCTTCCCGAGGGAGCCTACCAGTCCACGCACGCCCAAAGTACCCGCGATCTGACGGGCTGATCCTAAAGTCCGCGCGGGACAGAACTGCATGAGAACGTCGCGCACGCACCCGTTTTCAAATAAAGAATAATGAGCCGGGACCCGCACAAGATATTAAATATACTATAAATCCCTGGTAATTACAGGACGGTATTAGGGAGGGCAAGAAAAACCAATCAACAGAAGACAACGTCCAGAAATAGACCCACATATATGATTACAACGGGGGCGGCACGTCAGCTCCGTGAGGGAAGAACAATTCCGTAAGTGACGCCACAGAACATCACCAGCCATTTGGTGTTGCTGAGGCGCCACGTGCAAAAGATCCAGGACAGATTTTAAAACTAAGAATAAAAACAGAATGAAAGAGTTTTATTTATTTTGGTTCAAGAACGTCCTCCTACAAAACTCGGAAGTCTTGAAGAGAAATAAAATAACGCAATAATCATATAATTCTGAAAAAACACACACCAACGACAAGCGAGTCAAGAGCAAAGAGAGTACAACACAGTGACGGGATCTTCCCGGTGTTCGTGGCTGCAGAGCTTCTGCCCAGACCCACGGTGGTAAGAACCACACACCGGCAGCCGCACCGCAGGAGAGGGAAGGGCTACGAGAGCTGCGCGCGCTCGATGAGTCGTGGGAACACACGCTACAGTGCGAACCAGCCATCCGCGCACGCGTCTGTCCTCGCCCCGCGAAGTGGAAAGACGTCCAGAAGATGGACGGAGCAGGAAGCGTTCGACAGGGCTCCAGTCTGTCGCTGGCGGACGTGTGAGTATGGAAGCTTTTAAATTTTTAGTATTATTATTTTTTTAGAAAGAGTGTGTTGGGGGGAGGGGCGGGGGGGAGAGGATCTCAAGCCGGCTCCCTGCTGAGCACTGAACACGGAGCCCAATGAGGGGCTCGATCTCATGATCCGGAGATCACGACTTGAGCTGAATCAAGAGCCAGACAGACAGCCGACTGAGCCCCCAAGCGACCCCGGCAGCAATTCTGGAAGGCCATTTGGGAGTACGTACCAGTTGTACATGCACACCCCTTTGGCTCCTAGGTGTCCATCCTACAGAAATACTTGCCTCTGCACACGGAAATGTACACGGTCGAACAATACTCCTGCTGTAAAACCCTGTCAGCCATCTAAATGCCACCACGGAAGAGACAGCGAGTCGAATCTGTCTTTCCTCCCCTGCCTCACCAGTGCACGTTCCCGCTGGGCGCGCTTCCCAGCTCCCTCCGCAGCTCAGTCTGACCCTGCAAACTCCGGCCAACAGGACACAATCAGAAGCGATGTGTGCAAGCCATCAGGGCCACCCTCCTGCTCCCCTCTTCCTCTCTCCTCCTGCGGGAATGCAGACATGGTGACACATCTCCAACCACGCAGAGGACAAGAGCAGAGGGACAGAAGGGGACGGTCGGATGGAAGAGGCCTGGGCCCCACATCCCGAGGAGGCTCCAGCAAGCCCCAACAACCTTCGTGGACCACCACAGCCCATCCCGCATCCTCGCACATCCCATGTGAAGGGCCATTAAGCAGAGAGATGTCCACACATCCATACCCCGGACCGGGCTCACTGCTATGGATTGAGGCAGAAAGATATTCAAGCCGCATTATGACTTAAAAAGTGCAAGTCTTAGAACACTGCCCAGACGACGATATCATCGGGGGGGAGGGTGCAGGAGGGGGGAGGAAAGGGCTCTGTGTGGGAAGCACGCGTACCCGGGCTCTGCTCCGCACGCGACGGGGACCTGGGAAGTGTCTGTCACAGAAACGGTGCTGAAGGGAGAAGCATCGAACTACTAACCAACATCCAAAGCACAGCTGTTCCTCCCGTCCCACGTACCTTGGCGGAACCAGCTGTCCAGGCCGGAGGCGCGCAGGGCCCCCTCTGTGTGGGAGGCCGCCGGACACCCCCGGGCCCGCCAGGCGGATGTCTGGTTTCTCCTCCCCCAGAGCTCCCCGTTCAGAGAACGCATCTCTCCCTTCTCTTGAAAAACATACTCAAGGCCAAGTTTTCATTTCAAACAAAGACACTGAAATGGGTTTTAGATAATTTATTCATCACAATCCACTTCATCTGCCAGGTTGCATTAAACACGAAAAAGAAGGGTCCCCCCGCTTCGTCCGACTGTCCTCCAGGCTGAGCCAAGCACGGGGCGGCGCCGGGACAGGAGGCGGGGAGAGCGGCCCTGGGCTCCCGGGGGAAGCCGTGACCTCGGGGGAAGCACCTCCGCATTTCTGAGAAGACTCCGGGTGCATCTTTGGCCAAAAACGTCCAAGGGTGAGGCAGAGGTCTCGGCCACAGTCACGCGCCTCCTCCTGAGGGCTTTCCCGGAGGGAGCCCCGGGGCGGCGAGCCTCCTTCTAACCCGGCGCATGGCCCCGCAGCCCCGCTCGCGAAGGGGTCCACAGGAAGACGCAGAAGATGCATTTTCCTTCCACAGGGCGTCCTCCGAGCACAGGACCCCCCCGTGGGAGGGGACGGCCCGGAATGTCAGGTGTGGAAGAGCCCGGCTCCCGGCTCAAGTGCGGCCGCCAGCGACCGGGGAGCGGGAGCCCCAAGCAAACTCTCCGACCCTCAAAATCTGCCCAGCTGGAGGCCCACTGGTTTCGCGGACCCTCTCTCTGCCTCTCCTTTGCCACAGTCAAATAACCAGGCTCTCCGTCAGTACTTCTAAACAGATATCACTAAGTAACAGCTTATCACTAAGTAAAAGCTGTGCTCTACCGGCGGTGGCGGGCTCCCCCTTCCGCTCCGTGCCCAGCGCGTCCTCGAGGCTGCAGAAGGGCAGACGGCGGAGGCTCCTCGGTGCCTGCTATCAAACTCGCACACTTGTAATTCTAGAGCCGCGTTGGCGCCAAATCCTACCGAATCATTTCTCGTAACTACGTACCTGTACTGAGAGTGCCACGGGATCCAGGAGAAAAACAGCTGTTAATTTTATTGTAGACCTGACTTTTCTGAGGATTTCTAGGACTTGATGTTTGCAACCACTGAAGACGGTGGGTGCAGATCCCATCTCTTCAGGAGAAGTGCTGGAGAACTTGGGACTATTTCTTTGTGAGAGTTTCAACGTTCAAAAAAAATATGATTCCCCTGATGCTCAGAGATAAAACCCTAACCCGTTCCTCGGATGTCTTACCCTATTTGAGAACCGGATTAACAGAGCAGAAGTTCTCAACCCCACGTGCATCAGCCCGGCAGGGCTAGGGGCGGGGTGGGGCGGGCAGTTACACACACACACCGGGTCCCCTCCACCGGTGGCCGCTGGAGTGGGACACGCTCCTGCAGTGCCTGGGGTGGCCGGCGAGGGTGAAGGACAGACTCGGGGACCTCGCGCCTCACTTCCCGTGGACTGTGCGCCTCCTGCTTTAGGAGGAACACTCCCCAAATGCCTTTTTTCCCTTTATGATTTAACAGTTTACACACACTGATCAGGAAACAGTTTGCTGTACAATAATTTTCAAAGGAAAACACCGGCTCGTCCACCAGTCGACTGTAAGACTTTCAACCACAAATTCAGTCTCTGATGGATACAGGGCTCCTCGGGTTTTCTGTTTCATTCTGGGTCACTCTGGGTAAGTTGTGTGTTTTAAGGCATTTCCCATCTAATTCAAGTTGTTAAATGTACTGGTATAAAATATTAATCTGTCCTCATCTCTTCTACGTCTACAGGGTACGGGGTGATGTCCACTCTTTCATTTCCACACGTGGATCCTGTCTTCTCTTTCCCTCTTGATCCATCCAGCTAGAGACTCGTCCTTCAGAAAAATGATGTGAGCGGTCGGCCCTCTCCACGGCCCGTCCTCCACTTTACTCCTTGCTGCTCTTTGATACGTCTCTCGTTCTACTGGCTTTGAGCTTATTGGGCCAATTGTTTTCTAGTTTCTTAAGGCAGAAACCGAGATTCTAATTTCAAACCTTCCTGCCTTTCTGTACAAAGATTTAAGTGAACCGCATCCTGCAAATCTGGTGAGCCCCAGTCTCACTGTTGAGTCTCAATGATCTTTATTTCCTTTGTGGTATCTTTCTTGACACACGTGTTACTCAATGTGCAAATAGTTGAGGATTTCCCAGATATCCTGAAATTCCAAGTTCTGTGCCCAGAGGGTATACGCTGCAGGAGGCGATCCCCCAGGCCTCACGGAGACGTGGGGGACCCGCGTGTGGCCCTCTGGGGGCCCCACCAGCCACACCTGAGAGGGTGCCCGGTCTGCAGTGTCGGCAGAGGCTGGTGTCTGCTACGCAAAGTGGCCGATGGTGGCGTTCCAAGCTTTCGTGGTGGTAACGGATTCCTTTTTAACTAGAAAACACATACTATGTCTGGAGTTTTCTCTGTGACAAAGTTTTTAATTGCCCACTTTAGCTGTAATTTTAACTTCCATTCTGACCCGCCATGACTGACAGACGGTTCTTCGAAGCTCTGATGAGGACTGTGGACACGCAGCTTTCTCTCTGGGGCCTGCATGCGAGCTCTGTGCACTCGGAGCTCCCGGCAGGTACACATGCACTCGGGGCGGTTCACCCGACCACGGGTCGTTGTGAGATGTCCCGCTCCTCCTCTGGCAACACATGGTCTCCAAGTCCATTCTCTGCCAACGGGGCCAGGCCGGCCCTCTGACCACTAGTACCTGTGAGACACACCATCGTCTCCATATGTACAGCGCGTCCCTGTGGATGGCAGGAAGTAGGGTCTGACTCTCAGTCCCGTCTGCTACAAGCTTAGGACAAAACATTCTAGAGAATAACCAGTCTGGATCCACCAAAAAGTCGATGTGCGGTGTTGGGCGAGCGAAAGCAGGAGTCGCAGACCGGGAGGGAGGATTTACAGAACACACACCTGATAAAGCACTTGCATCCAAAATACAAAAAGAATCTAAAAAGTGAGCAAGAAAACAACCCTATTTAAAAGTGGGCAAAACAGGGGCGTCAGGGCGGCTCAGCTGGCTGAGCACCGGACTCCGGGTCTCGTCCGGTCTTGATCGTGGGTCGTGAACTCGGGCCCCACTGAGCTGCATGCCGCGCCCGGAGAGCACTTGAAAAAACGAGTGGGCAAAGATACGGACACCCCAGCGGAGAAGGAACACAGACGGATGAAGACACTCCGTATCATACGTCATTAAGGAACTGCACATTCAAACCGCAACGAGACACCCGTGCGCCTAACGAGAAGAGCGAAACTCCCAGACCCTAGCAACTGCACGTGCTCAGTGGGACGGGGGCACCGGGCACTCTCGTCCCTGCTGCTGGGAGGCCAACTGATGCAGCCCCTTCGCAGGACAGCCTGGCGGTGGCTTAGAAAGCTGAACATACTCTCGGATCTAGCAATGCGCTCTGAGGTATGGACCCAAATTAGTAAAAATCCTTGTCTAACCAAAAACCTGCATTCGCAAGAGCCAACTAACCCGGAAGCAGCCAAGATGTCCTTCAATCGGGGTCCATCCAGACAGTGATGTGTCACTCAGGGTAAAAAGAAGTGAGCCATCAAGACACATAACACGTGAGAGAACCGGAAATGCACATTCCCAGCTGGAGAGAGCCAATCTGAGACCGCCACAGACTATGATCCCAGCTACCCGCACTCCGGAAAGCGGACGACGGCGAGTGTCCACGGATGCTGCTGGGGGGGCGGGGGCCGTCCAACTGTCCTGTTCGACACAGTAATGGTTGACGCACGACACCACGCATCTGTGTGAACCAACGTTCAACTTCCTGAACAATCTGCTATTGTCTACCTAGCAAAGAGTCTATTAAAACAAGAGAAAAGTGTGTGTAGATAAATTATGAGAAACAATAAGAAAACAGAAAATTGATAAACATAAAATAAATGTACAAAAATCAACTGCCTTTCCATACACCCTGGTAAGAACTTGCAAAATACAGTTTTATAGTAAACATTTATAACATCAAAAATATAAAGCAGCCAGGAATATATCTAACAAATGATGAAAACTTTTGTGAAATTATTATCACAATTATTTTGTGAAATACTACTGACACTTAAGAAGAACATAGTTTGGGGGTGCCTGGATGGCTCAGTGGGCTAAGCCTCTGCCTTCAGCTCAGGTCATGATACCAGGGTCCTGGAATCAAGCCCCACGTTGGGCCCTCTGCTTGGCGGGAGACTACTTTTCCCTCTGCTTGTGCTCACTCTCTCTATGAAATGAATAAGTAAAATGTTCTAAAAAATAAAAAAAAATAGGGGCACGTGGGTGGCTCAGTGGGTTAAAGCCTCTGCCTTCGGCTCAGGTCATGATCTCAGAGTCCTGGGATCGAGCCCCACATCGGGCTCTCTGCTCAGCGAGGAGCCTGCTTCCCTTCCTCTCTCTCTGCCTGCCTCTCTGCCTAGTTGTGATCTCTTGTCAAATAAATAAAATCTTAAAACAAAAAAAGAAGAAGGAAAGCAAACTCTGGCAGACTCATCATGTAAAGACCCTGAGTCTCCCCCTCACCATCAATCAGCTGACGGACAAGTTGACGCACTAGTTTAAAGGAAGACATAAGGGGCAAGACAGCCAAGAAGAACTGAAGAAGAACAAGGCGGGGGAGGGGTCTGCTCCCTAAACACCACAAGCACTGGGAACCCACCTCGTGAACAGTTTCCTGGCACAGAGGCAGACCCATGGAGCAGAACTCTCACAACGTGCCCACACACTGTGGAAACGTGATTTTGTTCAAAGTTGGCATTAAATAATAATGGAACTGGGAGGTATCCATTGCAGGGGGACAAAAAACAGAGTATAAACTCCTGCCTAATAGTTCGTACAAAACCGTTTCAGGCAGATTAGGGACCTAAATGCAAAGGACAAAAATACAAGCCTTTGGAAGAGCATCTGGGGAACACCTCTGCAACCCTGGCACGAGGGAGGACTTCTTAAGGAAGACACGAAATGTCCACACCATAAAGGAAGACTGACCACGATGACCACATGAAAACAAAGAACCGCTACGAGGGGATGCTATTAAGAGGCAGAAACAAACCAATAGACCAAGCCATAAATTCAGAGAGGACACTCACAATTCATAAAAATGATAAAGGGTCGCTGTCTAGGATATGAAGATTTCTTCCAAATCAATAAGAAGACGACACACTAACCCAAGGGAAAAACGGAGAGGAGTGTGCACTTCGAGAAGGGGAAGCTCCACGGCCAACCAGCGGTCAGAAGGAGCTCCGTGGCACGGCCCCTGGGGAGACCCGCATTACCCCCACGCTGGGCAGAAAAACCAAGTCCTGACCACAGTGCTGGGCAGGAAGGTGGGCAGTTTAGGAAAACCACGGGAACCATGGAGACGTCTGTCTGTACAGAAGGCCCTGAGCAGGTCCTGAGATGTCCCCACAGTGGGCCTGAGGGAAGGGCACAGGCACCGGAGCAGCAGGGACAGATGCTCAGAGCGTAACCCAGGGCAGGAGCAGGCTCCGAAGGACCCCAATCCCGACAGCCAGCAAACACCCAGACCCAGCGCACCTGGACGGCCACAGAAAGGGCGGCTGCTGCAAAGGAAGGCAAGGTAATGAAGACACAAGATCAGCTGTGCCAGTGACCCCAGCGGGGAGGAGGGAGCCTGCGCTATGGAGGGGCACAGGGGCTCCAAAGCCCTGTGGGGCCCAACACGGCACACCTCCAGGCACTGCCTTGCACACCGTGTGCGAGGAGAGCGCGTGGCCCCACCATGGGGCTGGGGGCACGGGGGGACTCGCCACTCCCAGCCAGGAAAATGGTGGGAGGGTGTCGCTGACCCCTCACATTCACGCCCCATGGTTGGTTAGGAGCCGCAGGAGGCCAGCCACCCGGCCGTGGGGAGCGTGGAGCCGAGGCCGTGTCTGCAGGTGGCCTGGTGGGAGCTCCTTGGTCTGCACCATTTTCGTCCCTTGGAAACCACTGATCCTCAAAGGGACACTCACCGAACCGCGAAACCTGGTCGCCGTGCGACGCACACGGCAGACGCACAAGCAGGTCCTGCCTGCGGCGGGAAGAGCGCACCGTGGGCGCCACGCCGGGAGCACCACGCCACGGCCTCCAGACGACCGCTCCGTGGCCACGTGTCTCGTGTCTGGCCCAGCCCTGACAGCTGAGACGGGGCTGACCCCACAGCTCCCCACCACACAGCCCAGCCGGACCTCGCTGCGCCTGGGCCCGCGGGCGCGGAGTGACCCGCAGCGGAGCCGCGGCCGACCACCACTGCGCGCGCTGGGCGGCAGGAGAAGGGGGCGGGGCTCCCACGAGCCTCTGACGGTGCTCCTACCTTGTTGAAGACCCAGATCTCCCCGTTCACGGTGGGCCTGGGCACCCCGTGGCCGTTGTAGTGGAAGAGGACACGCTCCTCCTTGGCGTTTCGGCGTAAGGACGTGCACAGCTTCTTCACTTCATCCACGGTCGGGTCGAGGCTCTGCTTGTACCGGGCCTGTCGCGGGAGAAGATGGAAAATCTCACCGTGGAGTCAGGGATGCGCGGGGTACCTGCCCCGCCCCCACCCTGAGCTTGCGCTGAGCAGCCGTGGACCCTGGACACGTGACCCCGAGCCTCTCCACCTGTAAGCCTGGGGTGACGCCTCCCTCGGGGGGGCCGTGGGGCTTCATGCAGCCAAGCCCCCCGGGGGGTCGCGTGACGAGCGTGCGAGATGAGGGAGGGCCGCACGGCCACACCGAGCAACGGGTCCAGCCACTGGGACAGCAACCGCATCTCCTGGAGACACCAAAGCCTCCTGAGAAAAGTCCTCTGGGAGGGGAAAGGCACACTTTGCTGAAGTGCAGGAGGCCGCGGGCCGACGTGGCACAGCAGCGCTGAGAGGAGGCGCCGGCCGGAGGAGGGAAGCTGCCTGCCCCTCCTCCGGGCCACGCTGGCCCTGCCCAGCCCCCGCCGGCTCCAGCCCGGACCCGCGCGGACGAACGGAAGGGATTCGCGGGATGAGCAGGCCCTGAAATCAACTCCGCATCGACAGCGCTAATGCACACGAACGACACGCGGCTAGAGGACGGGGTCTTCCCTCCCCACGTCTCCCCCGAACAGGCCAGAACGCTGCCCGTAAGATAAGGGGCCGCCCCGGAGGCCCGAGAGGACGCTCACACGTGTGTGAGGTGCCAAGTGCCCTCCCATGGGCAGGGCAGCGAGCGTTCACCTGACGCTGATGGGGGCTGTGGGTCCCCACATGGGGGCTCCGAAGGGCCGACTGGCAGAGAGACGGTCCGGGTCAAAGCAGGGGCTCAACCCCGTGTCGTGGAGGTCCCGGCCGTGGTGCGGGGCCCCTCCCCGGACCCCCGGGCAGGACGGACCGTCTTTTCTCTCTCCGACACAGCCGCCGGTCCATGTCCATGTGCGACCGTGTCAGGCCCACCGACACCGTGACTACGAGGCAGGCTCAGGTGCGCCCGTCAGCGCTGGCTCTGTGCCCGCGTTCTTCCCACGGCCTCACGACGCGCCCAGTCCCCAGCACGCAGCCGCCGAGGGACCCACGACAACACTCGGTGACAAGAAGAGGAAAAGGAGGAATCCGACCCGACGCTGCAGGGACACCTGTGACTCCCAGCGCGGCGCGGGCAGGCGAGCCCACGGGCATTGCCGGGTCTAGGTGGCGGACACTCGCCTGTTCTGGAATCCCACAGAGCAAACAGTGACGAAAACCACGCAGGCTCGCGCTCCGGACTCCTCCCCGACAAACCGCAGGTCTGTGCTCTGAGCGAGACAGAGCCGGGCACGGAGTCCTAACGCCCTGAACAGCTTGGTTTTGGTTGACGCCGCGAGACGAGGTGAAGGTGGCTGACAAGGGAACTCCAGCTCCGGGGCAGACAGGGAACACCTTACCGAGACGACCTGGACACGGGCCCCCCAAAACCACACCGCACAAGCACGCTGTGAAGTCGGCGAGTGGGTTGGGGCAGAAGGCCCCACGCTCAACCCCAGGCACCGGGAGCCTCCTTCGCCAGTGGCTCTCCGGCTCCGCCAATACAGAACCTAACACTCAGCAGGCAGGAGCTGCTCCCAGGCAAGGCGCCCTGAAATCTCCACGGGCCACGCCATCCGCCAGCAGCAGGAGGCCGTCCGCTCTGTGGGCCTGCACTCACGTCCCGGCCCCAGGCCGCTGGGCATGTTTCGAGGGGACATGCCAAGCACCTCCCCCCACACTGCTCACTCACGGCTCTCCTCAGCTTGGCCTCCTTCATGCAGCAAATGAACTGAGGTTTGCAAAGTCCCAGCTCCAGGGAAGGACGGTTCACCTCCCCCAGAGATCAGTCCTAAAGGGGGCTGCTGGTTCCCCCAAATCACATGCAAGGCCACGGGGTTGACATTCCTCAGAGACAGCCATAAAATTAGATTCATTACTGCTGACCTTGGCTCCACCAAGGTCTTCTCCCGTGGGGCTGCAAAAAAATGATTTAGCCTCACTTTCCCACCTACTGCACCAAAAGGATCATTACGGACTAGCATGAAAGGCGCAATGGATAGGAATAATATGTCTCCTGGGGTTTTATGGAAATTAATTAATATTTTTAAGGGCTTTGGAATGAGAAGCACTAAATTAAATGTCACACACTGTGTTCGGTTTGGTTTTGAAACTAAAATGCCTGGATCCCAGCTCCACGGTCCGAGGGACGCGAACGGCAGAGGAAGCACCGAGCCCCTTGCGGGACCCGAGACCGTGTAAGCGACATAAGCAGACACGACAGTCTCGCAAACACGGCTTGTGGTGGTCGGGATTCCAGCTCCAAGTCCAGACCTCAAGACGTGGTTCAGGTGCGTGTGGATCCTGTGCAGGAGGCAACGGGGGGAGACCAAGGCTGCCCCTTGGCTGGATGAAGGAACACGTGGCCCCGTGTCTCCTGTCCTCGTGATGGCCACCAGCCCCTCATCGACATCCAGCAACCTTCTGCACTAAGAAGGCCTGAGCAGGGTGGCCGCAGCCAGCTTCTATGTCCCTGGGGCAGCTATATTCTTCTCAGGCTCCTCCTCATGCGAGACAGAGTGCAGGGCCCGGACAGTGCAGTGGCCACTCGTGGTCAAGTGAGGCCACCCTGGATGCGGCCAGGGCACCCAGGGCACAGGGAGTCAGGGGCGGTGCTCCAGGGTCTTCTCTCCTGGCAGACCCCATAGCAAGGAAGCCTGTGTCTCCTTGGGGTGTCAAGTGAAGACCACTGCTGCCTCGTCCAGCTGGGCCAATGACCTCATTTCCACCCTTCCATCCTCCCTCAGCGACGATGACATCTCAGCTCAGATTTGAGAAAGGAAATGCCCCCCGAGATTTTCTCAGGACCATCTAGGAGGAACAAATGTAATGTTTGAATTTGGGCCAGTTTTGCCCCTGGTCTGGGGACTTGAAGATGTTTCACTCTCTGCCCTTTCCCAAGTAGGAAGGAAGGACTTCTGGGGAAATGGGGGGCAGAGAGAAAGGTCAGGTCTGCTCGAGGGATGCCCGTCATAGATGGCAGCCCCGTAGGGAAAGCTCCGGGCCCTGGCAGCTCAGGGACTTTACATCCCCACCCCTCAAAAAGCCCTTTCCATTCCCAGTACCACCACCCAGGGCAAGTCAGTGCAGGTGCCACCACCGTCGCCTCTACCGTCGCTACTACCATCACCACCATCCTCACCACCATCCCCACTGCCACCCTCACCACCACCACCACCACCACCACCACCACCAACACCATCCTCACCACCACCAGCCTTACCCCTGATGCCATCATCATCCTCACCACCAATCTCATCACCACCACCACCATCATCCATTTCTTAGATTACTTAAACTTCCCAAGTAACCCACCGGTACTATTTTGCTCTTTCTAAACCCACTCCTCAGCACTCAGTATGTCTCACTTGCTGAAAACCCCTTGCTGGCTTCTCAGCAACCCACTGCAAGCTCTTCCGAGTGGCCCACGAGTCCTGACCAAACCTTGCTTCCAGCTTCTGAGAGTCTGTGCTCCCAACACAAGGAAGTCTCTTTCAAGTCTACGTTCCTACCCACCTTCTAGCCCTCTGCCAGACCCTCTTCCTATTCGTCTTCTAACCCCAATTCCAAGTCCTGCCTGGACATTTCCACTTCCTTCTTCAAATACCAGGTTAACTGTCACTTCTCCAGAACTCACTTTCTGGTGGCCCCAGAAACTTGAGTTAGGTACCCCATGCCAAATGCTCCCACAGCACATCTAGCTCCCCAACTACAGCACTGATGGCCTCTGACTCCATCTGCTCATTGCCCATCTGTCGGCCCTCCCTCCACCTTTCTCCTGCCCTGACTAGCATCCTGAAAAGGCCAGGATCATGATTTCCCTGGTCACTACAGCCACCTTGGGTAAGTGCAGTGCCTGAAACGTCGTTGGCACTCAGTAAGTAACTGTAGGAACCAAAGGTGACCCGTTCAGACTTCCTACTTGAGGGTGCAAAGCCCAGTGGGCTTCTTCGAAAGGAGCCAGGAGCCGGAGGACTGGAGTTTCTGCACGGTGCGTTCTGCTCTGCCGGGATGGAGTGCGCAAGCTCTTCAGCTACCGATGACCTTCTGCCGCTCCAGACCAGGGCAAACGCGGGCGCCCGCGGACGCAGCCAGCTCCGGGAGTGCAGTGAGACGCAGCTGACACTCCCTGTGAGCAGGACCGCCCGGGCAGACAGGTGACCCTCCCAAGGGAGAAGCTGTCTGTCTGGTGTAGGAAACAAGGAGGGCTGTCTGCAGGCAGAGACCGGAGGAACGAAGATTCACTTTGTCACTGGCAAATGTGTATGTCTTCCAAGGTTTGCAATGGCATGAAAAGTCATGAAAAGACATTTCCCCTCTCAGGACAGCTCCCTGGAGACAAGAGGATGGAGAAGCAGGAGTGCCCCTGCCGGGCTCCTGGTTTGGGACTACAAGGGGTCTTCCAGTGACAAAGACTAAGGGAAGGGGGCAAACGAACGTCAAATACAGACCGGACAGAAAGAGGGTGAGGGTGGCTGACTGGCGAAGTCGCATTCCTCTCCCTTGGCTGGCGGGCCGGTGTGCAAACAGCACGGTACCCCGCACGGGCAGGCCTGTGTGCATGCTGATGGCACTCCACATGCATGAAGTCATGAACCTCTCCTTTCCAAGCCATTCCAGCATGTCCCTGTTGCTCCCAGACTGTCCTGTAGGGTCACTAAGCCTTCACGGACAAGCACTCTGAGGTTCCTTACCAACCAGGTCTCCAGTGACCCAGGTGGCCCCTCGCTCTCTGGAGGGCCAATCCCCGTCCTGCCTTCACCTGGCTCTCCTCCCCTGCCTCCTCCCTCAGACGGTTGAGCCTGTTGTCTCTCCCCTCTCTCCCTGGTCCAGCCTCTTCCCTCAAACCTCAGGCATGGCTGTGACTCGGCCTCCCGTCTCACACAGCACACTCGCCCCAGGCGGCATCTTCGAGCACAAACCGACGATGCTACTCCGTGTCTTGCTCCACACTGGCCGACCCC